ATTTAGTCAGTCCTATGATTTAAGGTCAGGAGTTAAATCTGATATACTAGTGGAGCTGGAGATTTTTTATTATATCCAATTGTTTCATAACAATATGTTGAAACACATCCTTCCCACCCAAGATTGCTCATCCAACTTTGTGGAAAGCCACGTGACCACTAGACAGAGTTCTGTTTCTGGACGCTACAGATCCTTACATCTGTTTGTTCATCATTACATCAATACGATGCTATCCTGACTACTGTAGCTTTGTGATACATTTTGAAGTCATGTCGTATTACCCCTCCAAATTTGTTCTCATTTTTCAAAATTGCTTTGACAATTGTAGGTCCTTTGCAGTTAAATATGAACTTTGCAACCAGATTTTTCATCAACTTGCCAAAATAAAACAAGCCTATCTGGACTTTGGTTGAGAGTGCATCACCTGAAACCCATAAATCAATGTGGAGGAAACTGACATCTTAAGGATATTGCTTCCTATCCACGAACACTGTGTGTATTCCATGTAGGTCTTCATGAACTCCTCTCAGCAATATTTTATATTTTATTGTACAGGCCTTTCGTGTCTTTTATTAAGTTTACTAGAGGCCCAGGGCATGAAAATTCATTCATTGGAAGTGGGGTTCTCTCAGCCCAGCCTGCCCCCTCTCACAGTCTGGGAGCCCTCATGTACAGGTGTCCCTCATTCAGGCGCCATGTGCCAGGGTTCTTTGCCCAGCTTTACTAAAGGTTCAGCATTCTGGAGAAAGGGGCTGATGCATAGATTCAAGGAGGAGTCCAAAGACAAAAGATCATTTGGAAAGGCATTGGAGGTCAGAGGAGCTTCAGCTGAAGGAGCTAGAAGACTACTTTCTTGTCTAGGACCCCATACTATTTATTAGCACAATTTGTCCTAAGGCAAGGAGGAGATATACACTTCAAAATGTGAGGTTTCAAAGCGTATACAGAAGCATTGTCAGTTTGAGGAATAGCCTACAGCTGTTCAGGTGTTTGACCCACTGGAGGCAATAAAATGCCCTGAGCTGCCTGGTAGCAGATAATCCTATTAAGGTTCGGGGAAGATACCATTTAGCCATTCCAACAGGTAAACTACATATGTGGCTCACCCTTGAACTACCCAAGCTCCACCAACCTTTTGGCAAACCTTTTGTAATTATTACATGCTGGAATTGGTTCCTGGCACCCTCAGGGGTGGGAGGCAAACCAGTAATCAGGGCAAGGTGATGTCCCCATTACATCTCTGCTGCTGCCGCTGCCAAAAGTGCAAACATTGGCTGGCCCTGGTTAGGTGAGCCTCAGGCAGCCCTGGGCGGATCGGCAGACTACATATAAAGTTTGCCTGCACCTGTGGCTGGTCCTGGATGACCAGGGGGCTGAGGGGACTGGGTGCCATCATCTTTGAGGGCATGGCAGTCAATTAGCATATTCTCTCCTTATTGGCTTTAGGCACTGCCATCTTTGTGAGGATCTGGCAGTCAATTAGCATACTCTCACTTTATTAGATAGGATTCCTAAGATTTTTAATAATATTAGACATTACTGTGAATTGCACTTTCTATTCAAGAATATAGAAATAGAATTAATCTTTGTATATTTATGTTATATCCTGCAACCATGCTAAACTCGCTTAACCCTTTGGAAGACACTGTGGGATTTTCTACAAGTCATCTCTAAAAATAGTTTTACACTTGATCTTAGTCAAAGTAGTGGTTTTACCTCCATCATTCTTGGCATCAGTCATTTCTTTCTCTTTTCCTGTTCAGTCTAGACAGGTGAATAAATTGTTTTTGAGCTTCTCTAAGAACCCTCTTTTGGTTTAAATGTTTTCTATAACTTTTTCCCAATGACATTGATTTCTGCCCCACCTTTGCTATTTCCCTTCTTCTGCTTATACTTTTACTAGAGGCCAGGTCACGAATTCACTCATGGCTGGAGTTCTGCCGTGAGAAGGGGATGTGAGAGGTTTGCGGGCCTGGTCTGCCCCCAATTGGGATATGGGTGGGCTGGGCAGGGCCTCCTCAGACTCCAACTCTGCTGGCACCTTTTCCTTGGAGTTTTCAGTCTCAATAAATGTTTGCTTAGTCCTCCTGGTCTATGTAGCTCCTGAAGTAGCCTGAGCGGACAAGGACAATATGTCCAGTCTGTGTCCACTCAGAACTTTGTGCTCATCAGGTTTAGATGTGAAAACATACAGAGTTTTCATCTGAGGTACCATTTACTTTCAACTCAGCAACTTTCAGAACCCAGGGCCGTCAGCTGCTCCACCACAATGTCCGCGCCAACTGCAAAGAGACAGGCGCCTCTTCACACGGCCTAACCCAGCAGGAGCAAAGGCAACTTCCCACAGGCCTCAGAGGCCAAGACTGCATGCCCACGAGTTCTCACTGAAGAACTGCATATGTGTGCATGCTTGTGTGTGCATGTGTGTGCGTGTGTGTGTGTGTGTGTGTGCGTGCATATGTGTGTCTGTTGGGTAAGCTATAAGCTGAGGGTTGGGGAAAGGGTCCTTTGCCTGAGCCCTGTTAGTGGTGTCAGGGGTCCGGGGTGTCTGGAGAAGTGGGAGGGCGTTCAGCCAGGATGCAGCCCTGCTCTGCGGAGACCCCTCTCTCACAGCTCTGTTCACGCTGCCCCTCGGTCAGGGACAGGGATCACCCAGAGGGGAGCTGGGCCCTGGGAGAGGGCACAGTGTGGACGTGAGGACATCGAGGTCCTGGACCTGAGCTTAGCCCAGAGGGTCCCTGAAAGTGGTGGGGGGCACTTTCCCAGAATCAGGGTCCTGTTGGGCTTCAGATGGTCAGGGGAAGGGCGCCCTGCAGATCCCGTGTCTCAGCCATGACTCTGTACTGAGCACCCGGGGCCCAGCGTGTGTGCAGCGCAGTGTGGGGAGTCTCCTGAGGCCAGTTCAGGTCAGTAAGCAAAGAGAGCGCTGGTATGCAGGTGCTTTATTGAAATGAATGTGCAGGAGGTTTCAACAATGTCTTGCGGTTTCAGGATCAAAAGGCCCAGAGGGGAGCTAAGCTGTGGTCTCAGTAGGGGAAAGTTGCCGTCCGGCCATTCTCTGTGGTCCAAGGAAGGTCTGCAGGCTAGTAGGTGGCACACTGCTTGCTGTTGTATATGGTTTGCTAAAAAACAGACAGAGTCACTCCCTCCCACTCTCCCCAAGCCATCCTAAGCACAGACATGGCCTCTCCCTGTCCTCCCACCAGGCGGGGGTTCAGCCAGGATCTCCCTTTGTTCTGGGGCTGAGGAGGCACAGCCTGAGGCCAAGGCCGTGCTGCCCAGACCGTCCGTCCCCCCTGGGTCCCAGGAGCTGGTCCCTGCCTGGTTCCTCCACAGTGAACGAGTCCTCCCGTGCCCAGGCCGTGTTGCCCCTGCTCCGTGTCTCAGCCCCGTGTGCATGTGTTGGGCTGTGGGCCGGCAGCCTGATGCTGGCCACGTTATTGTAGCCACGGAGCTGAGGACACTTGCACTCGAGGGGCTTGTTTGACCCATGTTTATAAAGAGAAGGCCGTCACCCCCATGGAGGGTGCTGAGGCTTTCAGGTGGAACCACGGTGAAGGCCTGTCCCACAAGCAGAACCCTTCCCTCCTCCATGTACAGCTTCGTCTTGTCACGGTCCCCTCCTCCAGCACCCTCTCCTCTCGCCAATTGGCAGCGCCAGGCCCTGTGCTTCTCCCTTTCCCGTCCCCCTCCCCGGCGACTCTGCTCTGCCTGTGCCTCAGAGACTGGCCACCGCACACAGCCCAGCAGTGCCTTTCCCCACATTCCTCAGCTCCCCAGCTCGTCAGCAGCCGGCGTCAGAAAGCACCTGGTCACACACAGTGTGTGACTGCTGACGCCAGCGCTCCCCTGGCTGCCCTGGGCTGTTCCCATAGCTATTGGGGGAAATGAACCCCAGGAAAGAACTGAGCCCTATCTGCTCTAAATAGAAAGACGGTCTCATCATTTACACTGATTCTGGTTTTCAACGATCCCACCGCCCATGGCGCTTCTCAGCCACGGTTTCCACTCCAGGGCCCTCCTCTTGCCCAGGACGTCCAGCCACGCACACTGGCAGACGTGGTGCTCGAAGGGCCTGGGCACCGCGCTCCTGAGAGTGGGCTCTTGCTGACGTGTAACTCTCTGCTCTCTCGAGAAAAGGCTTTTTCCAAAAATGTATTTTTATTGATTTCAGAGAGGGATGGAGAGAGAGATTGAAGATCAATGATGAGAGAGAATCATTGATTGGCTGCCTCCTGCACGCCCCCTACTGGAAATTGAGCCCGCAACCCAAGCATGAATCCTTGACCAGAATCAAACCTAGGACCCTTCAGTCCCCAGGTCAAAGCTCAATGCCGTGAGCCAAACCACCTAGGCGTGGTGGGCAAACTCATTCGAGAGCAGAGCCAAATATCAACAGGACAACGATTGAAATTTCTTTGGAGGGCCAAAGTTTTTAAACTCAAACTTCTTCTAACGCCACTTCTTCCAAACAGACTCGCCCAGGTCGTAGTATTTTGTGGAAGAGCCACACTCAAGGGGCCAAAGAGCCACATGTGTCTCGCAAGCCGCAGTTTGCCGACCACTGGCCTAGGGCTTGAGAAAATGCTTTAAAATGCTTTCCTACGTGTGTTTCCACTCTTAAACGTGAGGGTCCTCTCGAGAATCAGAGGTTTGGGCGCTGAAGGGTAGGCAAGCCTTTGCCACACGCTCTCCTCCCCCGTGGCCTTTCTCACATACAGACTCCTCCCCGTGAGCAGGCACAGCAACCCCGCCCCTGGCATGGCTCTCCGGATGTCAGACTGTTCACACTCCCCACAACCCCATTCCCTGAGAGGACATGAAGCATGACCAACACTTGCTTTCAAGACCACCCTAGCTGGATGGCCTCAGTGGATAGAGCACTGGCCTGCGGAGTGAAGGGACCTGAGTTTGATTTTAGTCAAAAGCACATGACAGGTTGTGGGCTCAATTTTCCGTAGTTGACGTGCAGCAAGCAGCCGACCCATGATTCTCTCTCATCACTGAAGTTTCTCTCGCTCTCTCCCTCTCCCTTCCTCTCTGAAATCAATTAAAATACATCTTAAAAAATAGTGACTAAGAAAAAAGTAGTTACTAGAGAACTGAGAGTCCACTGGTCCCCAGCCATAGCGCAAAGAAGCCACCATTACCATCAGCATGCGAACGTTGGTCAGGGTTTGGTTGTTCTGGTCGAGAAAGCACTGCTTAAAATTCCTGAGGGCCATCTCAGTGATCCGATCATGGATGTCCTCGTCAAGGTCTTCGATGAATTCAGTCTTGGACTCTTCGGGATCAATGGTCATTTCGATCAAATCCTCTATGTCTTGGCAGCCAGAACCTGGGAAGAAAGCACACAAAAGCCGGCTCAGATCCGAAGGCACCACCTCCTTGCTGGGCGTAGCCAGGACGATGGCCTTCTTACCTCCCAGCAGAGACAGACACTCAGGGAGCTTATGGACAATGGTCCGAGTCCTCCCTTCTGAGAGATCAAACTCAGGGTCTAGGGTGTTCTCTGGCCCCAGGACATCTCCCTCCTTGTCCCGCCTTCCGCACCCAACGCCCCAGCTCCATGGCTTCCACAGCCCAGAGAGCCAAACACGATGGAGGCAAGAAGAAGGCAGAGAAATGAGGCGCTCTGGGCTGGGGCTAGAAGAGCAGGAGGTCTGCCCCAGGGGCCATGACACCTACCTCCCCACAAAGCCTGAAGCTGTCACACTCACCGGCATAGCAGAAAAGGGGGAGGGCGGTCAGCATGAGCACTATCACCAGCTTCATGGCTCAGGCAGCTGCTGCTGGCTGGTCACTCGGACGTGGCAGGGAAGAAGGACTCACTTTGGAGGTGAGAGCCCTGACCCTCCTTTTATTTACCTGATGGCCACTTAGTCCCTCCCACAGATGATGGAATGTGTCATGAGATGTACCTGGCATCGGTCCAAGAAGGACAGTGAGAATCATCTAGAACCCTGCCAGCTTATGGTCTCTTTGTATAAACCAAGAAGTCAGAGCCTTAAAAACCCTCATAGATTTCATAACAGCAATCATGGTAATGAAATTACATAAAATTAATGCTGAAATGCTTACTAAATAAAGTAAGTTACAACATTGTGCGTCTGTGTTGCCATCCTTGTTTTTTAATATTGGGTCCTCATTTACCTCTTCCTCCTCCTCCAGCTCTTCCTCCCCGTCCACCTGTCTCCTCCCCTCCCCTTCTCCCTCTAGCCCCCTTACTCCTCTCTGTTTTCTTCTGCTTCTATAAGGCACAGAGATCTTCACATTCTCTTCCTGGGCCTCCTGCCTCACCTTGCACCTGGGCTGGGTGCAATACCAGCCAGCACCTGTGGAGGGCACACCCATGGACATATTCAGGTGCCTTTTGCTGGGAAATAGCAACAGCTTCTCACTTTGGTTAAAGGTTGTTTGTACAAAGACAATCTCATTTAGTTAAGCCAACTCTAGAAATTTATGAATGTTGTGAATGTAGAAAGTTATGAATGCAGAGTTATATTCTGTTCAGTTTTGTTAGCTTTAGGGTTTTCCTTCCACTCATTCAGGAGATGATGTGAGAACTTGAATCGCTGATGCTTGAGAGAGGCAGCACTGGATGGTGGGAGAAATCTGAGTGCGTGCAGATATGGATTTGCATCTTGGATGCCAACGGAGGTGATCTTGGAAAAGACAGTGCAGTTTGTCCTGATCTTCAACTTCCACAACGAGCATGAATGACACTGAGGCGGCTTTTGTATGAATGCCAGGCACTCCATGTAGAAACTGAGCACAGGGCCTAGGAAGTGTAATCATGACTAAGCCACAGGATTCATCTACACATCCATGCATCCATCCAGGCACACATACATACATCCTTTCATCCACCCATCCATCCCTCCATCCATTAATCTATCCATTCACCTATCATCCACTCACCCATCCTTCCATCCATACATCCATCCAATCATTCATCCATCCTTCCATTCATCCATCCATCCACCTATTATTCATTCACCTATCCTTCCATCCATCCAATCATTCATCCATCCTTCCATCCATCCTTCCATCCATCCATCTCTTTAAGCATCCATGTTCATAACAACCATCATTCTCCTAAGCCTGGGTCCTGTGCTTCGTGTCACGGATTCAGATATACAGACGAGGTAGACTGAGACCTTGCACCTGTGCAGCTTAACTCGAACTGGAAGGCAATAAACAAGCTTCCCATTGAAATCTATTTAATAAAAGAGTAATATGCCAATTGCCCACCACTCCAACACACAAAATGTCTGACCCCTATGGTCAAAGATAGTTGCCCCCATGTGGATACCAGAAGGCCACCTCAAGATGGCCAGCAGAGGAGGGCAGTTGGGAAAAACAGGCCTGCAAGGGAGGGCTGTTGTGGATGATAAGGCCAGTAAGGGAGGGCAGTTAGGAGTGACCAGGCAGTCAGAGGATGGAAGTTGGCGGCAACCAGGCCTGTAGGGAAGGGCAGTTGTGGGGATCCAGGTCTACAGAGGAAAGCAGTTGAGGGGAAGCAAGCCTGCAAGTGAGAGCAGTTGGGGTGACCAGGCTTTCAGGGGAGAGCAGTTAGAGATGACCAGGCCTGCAGGAGAGTGTAGTTAGGGGCAATCAGCCTGGCAGGCAGAAGCAGTTAGGGACAATCAGGACGCCAGATAGATGAGCAGTTGGGAGCCAGCAGTCCTGGATTATGAGATGGATGACCCATTTCCCATTTAGGCCCAATACTACTGATGCTTTGAGGGATCCCAATTGGAGAGGATGCAGGCTGGGCTGAGGGACACCACCAGCCCCCCCTTGCAGGAATTCCATGCACCGGGCCTCTAAGATCAGATAAAGGAAAGAGATTGTGTCATGAACAACAGAAAACCGCTAGGGCATCATCCTGAAGGAGTTCCCGACAGACAATCCCGGCAGGACTCTGTAGGTTGTGTACCATTTCCTGCATCAGTGAACAGTGACTTCCAGGGACCCGCTGGATAGGAGTCTTCTAGAAGCAGCAACAGCAGATACGAAGGCCCTGAGTGCAATGGTACTCGGCAAGGGAAGTGAAGCCTGGAGAGTGTGCCTCTCGTTGTCAGACAGGCAGGACGCCTCATGAGAGAGAAAACTCACATCAGTGTAAGTGGTGCCCGCATGGAGCAACCAGACAGCCATCGTGGCTTCAAGTAAAGAAAGAGACATGGGTGAGACCCTGAGAGGTGAGCCAATAGTTAATGAGCCTTGAATGCACTGTCCTCTCTGTGGATGTTTTGGGGCCCATTTCTTCCATCATTCAGCTGCACCCCAAGTTGCCAAGCACAATATTGACTTAGGAAGATGCTAGGAATAAGGAAGGTGGTGTTCCTCTGTGTGTACTCTCTCCCAGTTGACCGTTGTTGGCCATCATTCCAAAGGCACATGAATGACATTCATAATGATCGGGAGACTTCTTCCTTGAACAGGACCCAAGGAGGGCTCTGCTGGTTCCCCGTGGTTATGGGCCTGCCCTGTTGTCTGCTGGACATTGGGCCTCCTGGCAGAAGCAACTCCCTGCCATGGACACTGAGTCTGTGTTTCTTTACTTCCATGTTTTCTCCAAATCCCATGATGTAGGTTCTCAGGTGTGTCCAAGAATCATGACTCAGCTCACAAGAGACTCATTTAAAAGACGTGTTCACAGCAGAAATAGATAAACCAAAAGGTCACATGCTCATATTGCTGGTCTGATGGTCTCTGCTCCCAAAGGTCCTTAGACTCAGGTCCCCAAATTCAGTTATTAAACTGGAGCACGGAAGTCAACTTTGGTTTCCGTGTGGGTGTGACATCTTTTGGCCACCTGCTGTGACAGACCATGCTGTAGAGGTGAGCTATCCAGTCAGAGGGGGACGTAATGTGCGGGTAGAATTCTATTTGACCAGTACTTGGGCTCAACCAAGACCTAAGGGGACCCACACTAATCTTCTTCATTTGAGGTCTTGCCATCCTTAATAAAAGTAATGACATTCAGTGAGATATATTTTCATTCTCAGTGATTCACTGAGAATAAAACCGACACAAGGATCTTTAGTGTATAATCCTTGAATTTCTCACTCGTTGTTAATTGAAGAAGTTAGTTCTACGGTATTTTGACACAAGGAACTTTCCGCTTTACTTTCCCCCCAGATCTGTAAACGGGCTCTGCCCCTCGCTTCTGAGGTCAACGGTGTCCTTGGAGGTGAGCCTCTTCTTCCTTAAGATCCTGCCAGCATCTGGAGGCTGGCTGGGGAGCTGCTTTCCCAGGACGAAATGCACGACAGCCCCTGGGCCTGGAGACATCTTGATGGCAGTGAGAGGTTTATTGCTATTGGTGCTTCCCATGCTTTCAGCCAAGCCTGCGGTGGGCTGTCACCACGAGGTCTCTTGGTACAAGGGGAAGAGGCCTAGGCTTGTTGTGAGGCCTGAATGACTTGCAGCCCAGAAGTCCTCAGAACAGGGCTGGGCACAGAGCAGGTGCTAGCTGCATGTCAGCTGACAGCAATTATTTATAAACCTGAGAGCGCTCTTCCATTAAACCCTGGAGGCCTATGAGGACCACTACAGACGATGGAACTCCCTGCTCCTCTCCATCCTCCAAGAGACGCAGAGATCATCCCGTTCAGATACGAGGGGAAAGGTCAAAGTTGAAAGTTAAGCACCATATTTGGATCCATTCTTACCTGATATCTTTCTGACTCCTTAAAAGAGCTTCATGAGATACAGTTTAATCAGATCTTCTCTTTCGAACAGTCTACACAGTGTTGGCCTATGGACCTTCTCAACACCCAGCTGCTCCCTGTGCTATATCTTCCAGGTCCAGGAGAGCATGATGGCAAATACTGAGACAGCGCTCACTCCCTGCAGAGCACTGGTGACCACCTTTCTTTGTCTTTACTACATTGAGGATAGAGATGATTAAATTTAGTGTCCAACGGGGGCACCTCAGCAGGGAGAAGAGGCCACAAAATGCAAGGAATGCCAGGGCAGCAGCAAACTGAGATGTGTGGTCTTCCTCCCTGCATGTAGGGTTGCCATCTCTCCCCAGCTCCACATAGTGGGACCACAGAAGTCAAGTCTCTTGACCAAGGGCACGCAGCTAGTGGGGGGCAGAGACCGGAAAGCAGCCAGGTGTTCTGACATCAGAGACAGGTCTCCTTAGTGTGACCCTTATGGCCCTTCAGGTTATGACTCAGATGAAGTCATGTGACCTAGACTTGCCCAATTGCCCTGCGTGGACTCCAGGTGGATGTGTGGCTGGCCCCACAGTTTTGTGCACGAGGCCTTTGCTCCAGGTGAAGTCTTCTCCACTGTCCTGGCCTGAGTCCCTTTAGCTTGAAACTCTTTATCCCCGATGCCACAGCACAGACAGCCCATTTCCTGTTTGAAAAGGAAGCCTTGAATCTCCAGGGATCACCTCCCAAGACCCTGTGTCTTCTGGGTGCCCCTTTCTCCTGGTGACCAGGACCTGACTTCATGGCCCTTTTTCCCTGTTGAGTCCTAGATGTCATGCCCTGTGCTCTCTGGTCTTTGAGTGACAACAGTGATACAGTAGATTTCTAATTAGGTGTGTAACTTCTGTGAGGAATAGGGTTTGCCATTCTAGGATGAATTATCTCTTTACCCAACACTTACTGGGTTTATTTAGGAAGAGACACACATTTTAACTAGGAAAATTAATAAAGGCACGGCTCCAACACAACCTTAAACCCAGGCACAGCCTGACATCCCGGTGTTAACACCGAGTCCTTTTTGTTTCTGGAGAGACATGTGGC